CCCCAAACCCCCAAAACCCCAAAACCCCAAAACCCCATTTACCTATTTAATATTGAATTTTATTTAAAAGGCTAAATGAGCACTAAAAACAGTTTAAAGAAGAAAACAACAATAACTCCTGAGGATGAACATAAAATCCAAGAAAAAGAAATACTTAAAAAACCAGGAAATGACAATTCTCTTAACAGAGCTCTTGAAGAAGAACAAATTGGTGAAGGAGACTCAGCAAAAGACTACCAATACGAATTCATTATGCATGTCTGAAAGCCTTATAAGAAGATCGTTTACTTCCTCATCAAGAACGGATATGTCAAAGAAAGGACTCCGTTTTGCAGACATGGCATCAGGTCCTGCCACCTGAATTCTCTGGAAGGATTCTGCACAAACTTTTTCTACGGATTCATGACAAAGGCAGTGATAAATATTCTTCTGGGGTTAATAAATCCCCGAAAGAAGCTCGTGAATAACATCGTCGACTTGTTCTCAGCCGACTGCATGAGCTTCTGCACGTTCTTGGGCGCCTTCAGCGGCATCTTTAAGTTCATGATGTGCACTCTGAGGAGACTCAGAGGAAAAGATGATGAACTGAACTCCATAATTTCTGGAGCTTTGGCTGCAATTTCACTTCTTTTCGACAACTCGAAGTCCAGGAAGAAGTTCATTCTGCTGTACTTGTTCTGCAGGTCGCTAGAAATGTTGGTGAACGTTCTGGACAAAAAGAAGTGGCTCAAGAAGATCAAGTACTTCGAGTGCTACATGTTCGGACCTGTTCTCAGTTACCTGTTCTACGCATACATGTACGAGACGGAGTGTTTCCCGAAGGGCATCGACAAGGCATTTTTATCGACCAGCAAGCCTACCAATAGAGAATACTCAATGTTCGAAGATATCTACCAAAGACAAGGAAAAATCTATTTTCCAGGCGCCACCAGGAAAGTTAAGGTTTAGATTTTGTATTTTCTAGATTTTAGGTAGTATGTGCTTAAATTACGTTGGTTTCAATTAATCTCTTCTTTAAAGGGGTTTTGGGGTTTTGGGGTTTTGGGGTTTTGGGGTTTTGGGGTTTTGGGG